GGCCACATGGAAGGTAAGCTTTCTCGAGGGCCTGTTAGGCTTGGGTCTTACCATTTATAAAAGAGTTTGTTGTTGAAAAAATGCAGGTGTTTTAAGTTACATGTGTATTGTTTTGATGCAGTCAAAAAGTCAGATTTATGGGAGTATTTTATTGAGAGAAGAGTACTGTTGGGGTTAGAATGCGGGGATAGAAGACCCCCATTACATTGGCACCAGATTTTGGATGCACCAGCCAGTAAAGCCCTTTCTGTCCGGTTGCAGTATGAAGGGAAAAGGAACGGATGACACTGTTGCCCCGATACTGAGGTTGTCCTCTTATTTACACAAACCTCATGCTTTTCGGTCGTTAGCCACCACCAGTATTTGCTGAGATGCATGGCTAACATTTTTTTAACCGGGAGAAATGATCAGACAAACTTGACATAACTTTCATTGGTTGGATTTAAAAAGAGAAAAAGAAGAAAAAAAGCTCCTTACCACAATTAGTAAAGAAAGCCGTGTGGTCTCAGGACTAGCAGTGTATATGGCAAGTATCAGAGGGCAGCACCATATATTATTAAGTTTTTGGTTTTAGTCTTGGGTTTTTTTGGGGGGGTGTTTTTGTTTTTTTACATCACTCTATCCATCAGAGATTCATAGAAAATCTGGAAAAGGAAATTATCCAACTTCACTGTAACACCATTTACACCGTTTGCTATAAAACGGATCAAATCCCTCAGCTCCACATGGAATGCCCTAACTAGGCTTGAGGATCACGTGACATACCTCATTTCCAGTTCAGCAATGGGTTCATAGATTCTTTTAGTATTTCTTCCACTGCGTTAAATGAAGCCCTCACAAATTTTTGGATTTTACCGCTTTTACTTTTTTGGTTTAAATATTCTTGCTATAGAAGAGAGCAGGTCCAACCTGACAATTTTTTTTCATGCTTTTCTCCTATCTAGAATTCTTATAATCCCCAAATTCCACACCATGGAAAATGCAAATATCTTAGGATATTTTTACATGTCATTATTGTAAATATGATCGGGATTTATTATAGGATGCAAAGGAAATTTGCTCTGCTACTTTTTAAATTTTAGATAGAAAAACAAAAACAGAAAATACATTGCCTCTTATGTTCTTGATAAATTAGCATTTTAAAAGAAAATGAATATAACCATAGAATTAATTTATCAACCTCACACAGCCATGAATATCTATTATGGCTCAAAGTATCCTTTTTTATTTCCATTAGGACACATGGGTGCTGAAGGGAGCCTATGTTCAAAACCTTACCCGCTTCTCCTTAGCCTCCCTTAGGAGATAAAATGCAAAGTATCTTTAGCTATGAATGCCTTTCAAAATGTAGGAACTATAAGCATGAAGCAGACATTTTCTTCAAATTGCCTTTTATAAATAGAAAATGATCAAATTTAAAAATAATTACTGGCTGTGAATATGATATTTAAGCTCAGATCTACAGCTTTAACTTTTTCATTTTTGCAAACTGCAGGAGAAAGTGCCATCAATATAAACAATCCTAGATCAAGTACCAAATGACTCATAAATACGTATAATTTTCTCTACGTGTCCTTATTTCTATTGTAATCCTAAACAAAAGATCAAGTGCCCCATTTAAGTCATGGCTGAAAAGGGCTTACTCACGTTTTTGGGCAATTCTTTGATTTCTGGATGCTTTTGCCTAGATGTACAGTCTTGGAAAATAAAACTTAAGTTTGACTTTCTATCTTTACTTACATGGCCACACGCTTCAGACAGATCTGTAGTAGTCCTTCTGGCAGACATGGTTTCTTTAGATCTTCTGCAGTTCTAAATGTTTCGATGCTTATTCTAAAATATTAGACAGTGATAAAGTTGAGAGGAAATGTTGATTTCTTTCCCCACTATGTCTTCCATACATATACATGATCTGTCTGTAGTTTTTTAAAAGAAAATTTGGGTTAATTTAACCTCCTAAGTAATGTTCTGGGAGGTAAGAGTAGACCCTTCGCATTCCTGTGCCATGCGTTGGTTACAGCATAAAAAAGAAAATGCTTATTGCAAGAGCAGACCACAACCTATACATGAAGAAATTTGTCCTACCAAGTATAAATATAACATGACAAACGTTTTCAGAGATTTTTCTTTTGTTTTTATGCCAACCTGTCCAACCTGTTTGAATCAGGGGTGTCCTTTCATGGTCGTCTGGATGTTTTCAACCTACCCCAATTATGCTGACATAGCTCAAAACTCTGAGAATTTATCCTGTGGATTCTCCTTGCGAGTAGTTGATAACTTAGCTATGTAATAAAACATGTCTCATTATCTTCTTAAATATTCCATATCGAAAAAGAAAAATCAGCACTATCTCGTCTGACTCCTCAGAGTCACCAACGGTGATTATCTAAAAGTGGAAACAGCGCTCAGTATCTTGAGAGCGGGAATACTTGCAGGTAGCCCAAGGGGTGGGTTGCCCCACGTTTGAGCGATGGCAGCATCATTGGAATGGAGTGGAGGATATACTACATGGCGTGTGGGAGGTGGGATGTATGCATCCACTGTTCAGACCACAGTAGTCCCCTGCTTATGCCCTGTAAGAAGAAAGGTTTGAGTCAATGGCATGGGTCTTTTTGTAATGTCCTCATGTCTAATTTGGAGTCTCGATCAGTAAGTTCAAGCAAGGAGGCTAAAGAAATGAAGCCATGTTTGTTCCAGACCCCAGCATGGGTCGTGGATTTTTCTGAAACTCAAAGCAAAGAGGAGATGTTAAGGCTCCTCACCTTTGAGTTGGAATCCTCCTTTTCGGTGGACTATGGATGTCCAGGGTCTCCGTTTAAGAATGATCTTAGAAATGACATTTAACCATAAAAAAGAAACGTGGGGGCGGGGGATAGAATTATGTGTCTTTAGGAACCATCAGCTGCAGGAGTATCTTTTTGCCATTGAGAGTTCTACTCAGGTGTTTCTTTGGCATTGTTTGTTAATTAAGGTAATTGGCCATAGTAAGGACCAAGGTTTGTATATATATTTGGGAAGGTAAGACATAGCTTGATGATGGATACTGATGTACTGGGGATCCTTTCATTCCCTCATCCAGTCAGCTGCAGGAGGTGATGCTCTCAGTGGTAAGATCCAATTTAGATAAATCTGACAAAACCCGTAGAAGGTATTAAAGCCAAAACTTTCGAAAAAAGAACAAGAACAAAATGTATTTAACAGTATTATCATCATGTTTTTTTAAAATACCCTTTTATATGGGAGGTAAATTTAAAGGGGACAGTTTTATGCTCTACGTGTTTATTTTGAAGTCATATTAACAATATTTTCAGATTTTTACTGTGACCCCTATTTTGGGCTTACATGCATGTTAACTATTTCTTCTGGTTAGCTACTACCAGAGACTAGATGTAAATGCCAGAGTATAATTAATTGATAATTTTGTTTTGTTTTGTTTTTTTATTTTTACATTTGGAAAAGGCATCCTTAACCTCAAGAAGGTCATCCACGGGGGTGGTTAGCTACAGCTTTTGGGGATGGTTTGACAAATGTGGACTGTGAGGCTGAATTTACTGCTGTTTTTGGAGTCTTTTCTTATAGAAAATGTAAATGTTCTCTCTTTTATACTTGCTGCAGAATGCAGTGCGTCATAATCTTAGTCTTCACAAGTGTTTTGTGCGAGTAGAAAACGTTAAAGGGGCAGTATGGACAGTGGATGAAGTAGAATTCCAAAAACGAAGGCCACAAAAGATCAGTGGGTACGTCCACCATGTTTGAACTTCTTAGCCTAGCTTGGATTGTGCTAACAAGTGTCAAGTAGAGGCTTTTGGCTGCTAGACGGTGTTAGACCAACGAACCGGTTTCACGTTGTCTCAGTTAAGGGAAGCAAAAAAGCATTTCATCCCTCCTGTTTTGTATACCCACCAGTCCCCCTGCCCTGCTTGCCGGTCTTTGTTGCATCCCACGCTAGTAGCTTTTAGGTGGCAATGCATATTAACCCTCACAAACCATTTGCTTATGCTTATTGCATTTTATTTTCTTTTTCCTGTTCCCTGTATTGGATGTCTGTTCTGCCCCCCCAACCCCGTCTCCTTTTGTTGCCACTCCATCTCCTTTGCCGCTGCTCCTATCCCAGGGTGCCATTCGCACCAACCTCTCACTGCATAAGTGCTTTATCAGAGTAGAGGATGAGTTTGGGTCCTTTTGGACAGTTGATGATGAAGAGTTTAAACGTGGCCGCCATATTCAACGAGGCCGTCCTCGCAAATACTGCCCCGATGAAAACTTTGACGAGCTTGTCACACAGTAAGAGCCTTTACTTGCTTTTGTTTTGTTTTTTCTGCTGTTGCTTTGGCTTTGCATGGTTGACTCATCCCATGTAGTTTTGCATTTCACCAAGTAGCAGTGCCACGGCTTTTCTGCAATGGAACTAAATTGTGTGATTCGTACATGTATTTCTCTTGTTTCTCTTTGGAACACCAGTGCCTTGAATAATGCTTTTTTGACGTCTTTAATGCACATATTGGTCGTATTTTGATTCAGCAGCTTACGGGGACCCTTTAAGAGTAAATACCTTGGCTTGAAAGTAATTCCTCCCAAGGAAAAAGGCAACTTTTATGGAGAGTTAAAATGTGTATTTAACGGGGTACATTTCTTGGTATTTGCCCACTCAGTTATAAGAATAACGTAAGTGGAATGAATGAGGAGAGAGAAATCCGTAACAGCACATACACTTCCTTTAAAGGCCAGTGATCAATCTGGGTGACTTCCCTACTTGGAAGCCTCTCCTTCCTAGAGATTTTTTTTCGCATGGTATCTAGTCTTCCTTGGATTAGTTTATGGACACGGCATCCAGTATTCTTACAACCTCCCAGATTTGGCTGTGCAAGAAAGATCTCAACCCAACCTCCCCGCCTTCCCTGGGAACAACCCTTCCGTGTCACCCCCTTCTCCCCATCTTCTTTTAGCACTAAATGTGCCTCAGAGGGGGACCTCCTTTAAGAGCCATCCTGCCTTTACCTCCTATGGTCATTCTGGAGTTAATACCATGGAGACGATTCTCTAGCTAACTCCCAGGAAACCCTGCTGTCAGCTCACAGACTTGACTGCCCCTCAGCCCCCCAGAGCTTCTGCCTTCCTGTTGGGCTCATGGCAGCTACTAAAAATGTGCGGAGAGGTTGAGATGTTGTGTGAGGGGAAAAAAAAAAAAAAAAGAAAAATACATCATTGGAGGGGAGTGCCCAGGGCTGGTCTAACTGAAGCCCGAATTTTACACCCAGTTTCCTTGAAGAGCAAAGTCCTGCCCCGGGGTATCCACACAGACCAGCCCCGTAAAGCCAGGGGCTGTGGAGAAAACCTAACTTTCCTTTGGTTTTGTTAATGGGGGACATTTCTGATTTGGAAGGGAGACCAGCAAGCTTAAGATAAAACTTGGCTCGGAACTCAGGGGCTGATTGCGTTTAACTTTGAGTTTTTATCTTTTTCTTATGCAGTAACCCTTCCCTTATTAAAAACATGCAGAGCAGCCACGCCTATTGTACACCCCTCAATGCAGCTTTACAGGTAAGATTAATGGTCGTCCCGAATATGCAGTGGAGGCACATGTCTCCCCCTCTCATTTCAAAATATATTAGCCTCGCTCTAATTAGATATTAAATTTTAATTCCGTTAAACTTTTTTCTTAAGTGCACAAAGCATCGTACTCCCTGGAGGCAAACACATCGGGCTGCTTCAGCATTAGTGGGATGCTTAGCATTTTGAATATTGTGGCAAAAAAATTAAAAGTTCACTTATTAATATTTATCAGCAGTATCATAATTTCCATCCTCTTATTTCAGAATTTCACTTGAGGCAAAAATACCACAAGTGTAATTACTCTAGCACAGCTATTAATGTGCTGGATGATAGGCCACTGTATCACATGACCTTCTATTGTTCACGGGTTTAAAGAGAAAGCAGAGCTTTTTATTTCTTCTTCTAAAGTCTGTTTTAGCATCTTCAGTCCTTGGCCGGGGCGGGGCGGGGGCGTGGCAGAGATCCAGGTTTGGTTCACTTGGTAAAAGTAAACTGTTTTTGTTTAAACTAGAGGGGTGTTGAAGAACACTCTTTAGGTTTCCAGCAGATTGCTCAAGATTACATAAGAAGCATACAGAATGTTTGTTTCCTACTGACAAACCAAGCACTCATTACATAACCAGCATTACCGGGGGATGAAGACACTAGTTTTGAGCAGGAGTGAGTTTACCAGCCAGATACGAGTTACAGGGCAGCCAGCCGAGCCTTTTATTTATCCCATTTCTCAGTGGTCCCAGTTTGAGTTTGCCCCTGCCTAGATTGTTCTAGAAGACAGGCCAAGGGAATCTTGCTACCTTGAAAAAGACATACTCTGTACATAGATTGGATGTATATAATCCCAGGCCATCCCAGACCTTTCCAGCGTGGGTTCTTGCTGGGGGCTTTATCGCCCCAAAATGGGTACTTAGATAGTACAATGTCTTGTGCCCCTCCAAAGGGCCATAACACAAACAAACAGGAGCGTCTTTATAAGGCTCCGTAAGGGGTCAGAGGAAGAGAATGAAAAATGGTTGAGCTACTTGACATTATGGGAACAGAGTGGGTGAAGAGGCAGGAGATCAGGACGGGCACGTGGTTCTCACTACTCCTAGAACAAATATTTATTGAGCACCTAACCTGCCCCCTACACGGTTTCCCAGATCAGTCAGCACAGCCTCACAGCTCCCAACAATAGATGATACACCTTTAACACAGTTTCCGTGCAGAGGCAAATGCACTGAACTTAGCTTTTCAGTAATTATATTTATTTATTTTTAGCCTGTACCAACTTTAATAGGAGGAACTACTTTCTGAGTTTCTGATAATTACTTGTAGTTTACACAGTAACTTTAGAAAAGCAAATGAGAGCACGCTTAGATGCCGCCACTGTAAATACCATTCATTAGTAACTTATTTTCCCTGGAGTCTTGTGAAGTGTGAATTTAAAGGCTGCTCTATCTGGAAGAGTATTAAGATTACGAGCACATTTTACATTCATGAGGCAGAAAGGGAAAAAAAAGCAGTGATCCTCTGGATTCTCTTAACTATGTGACTGATTTAAATTAGTATGCCTTATCATGACAAAACTGTGCATGTTTCTTCTGGAAAACATTTGTTTTTGGCATCCTCCCTCCCCCTTCTCATTTCCAGGGGTAGCCCAAAACGATCCTGTAGTTTTCCAAGAACACTTTATGTGCATAATGAGGTGAGGTGAATAAATTGATATAAATTCATGATTGGAGGAATGGATCTTTTTCCTCTCGTCGAGGACTTTGGATCCACGGTCAGTAGACATTCTCATGTAACTTTCTCTGCTGTGCACATTAAATCAGGATTCTACCAGCAGGCTTTCCTTCCCATTATTGCCCATTTCCATTTTTCAAGACAAGTAAAAATAATAGTGGAACAACATCTTAAAAAGATTACTAGAGCAACATAATGCATGATATACAATATATAAAATAGGACAGCAGAATCCACTACAGAAATAAAACATTGGACGTGAGACAGATTGCATTATGCTCTGAAAAAGTGAAGTAACTAAGGGTAACCGTAAAGCTTCTTATTTATAGACTGCCTTTCCCCCGAGGATCTTAGCATGGTTCGTGTTCCAGGAGCAGTGGTACTTATGGACTGAGGCACCTTAGTTTTTTAGTTTTTTGGGGGGGGGGTTGTTTTGTTTTTTTGGGCAGAGGTGCCAGTTTGATACGAAACCACATACTGTACACAGGACCATTTATATAATGAAGTCCATTTTAAAAATCATACCCCACCTGCTCCTCCGTAGACATCAACGACAAAAACAAAAAAACCACTTTGTTAATGTTTCTAGCCTTGGGTGGGTTGCTTTGATCACTCAACAAAGAAGGTGCAAGAGGCTCTGTGGCCTACCAGGCACCATCCTCCCACTTGGTCATTTTCTTAAAGGGACAAGGCTGGTTTTCCTCTTTCTGGTCTCACCACCGAGGGATCAACAGAAGTGCTTGCCTTTTGGATGCCTTTCACCACCGTGGCTATGGGGCCTCAGCCCATGTTTTAACGACCTTCACCTAGAACACCTCAAGAGCCAAGAAGAACACATCATCCTAAGAAGGTTGCTCTGTCCCTAAGGGTGACCATCTTATACCAAAGAACACCTTCTTACGAACATTTCAGTTTTGTCTTTGCCTCTCCATTTTTGACTGGAGGAGCTGCTTAAAAAAAATAAACAAACAAAAAAAAACCACGCTGTAGAGATAGCCTCACTTGGGCCGCGTTCTGTGTCATGGTGACATGAGAGCAGAACTTCCATGACTGGGAGAGGCATGACCACTGAGTTGTCGCAAATGAAGGCCATTAGGATGCTTGTCCAGCTGCAGTTTGCAAAAAAAAAAAAAAAAAAAAAAAAAAATTAAAAAAATAATCTGGCAACCATTCTTGCTTTTTGCTCTGCCAAAAAAAGAAAAAATGCTTTATTGCAATTATAAGTGATCTGTTAAAAAAAAAAGTACTTGATGCAAATTATTTAACAAACTGTAGGAGAGCGAAGGAATGTTCAGATTTACTGTTCATCAAAATGAGTTCACCACATTTGGAAATAAAAACAGGATTTTTTCCCCCCCACTTTTTAAAAGCAGGCAGTTATATAAATCCAGAAGTGGAGAGAAGGGAAATCTGTGGGCTTGCACAGAGCCTGGCTTTGAAATCGTCCATTGGCCGATGCTGTGTTAAGTGAAGACCCGTCACAGGGGCTTGTATCTAAGAAGGCGTTCCTGGCTTTGGAGTTTGTACAGTGAGTGAGGCTGCAGTTGTCGTAATAGGCACATTCCCTGCAGCCCGCTCTGTCTTCATTTTTGGCTCTTTCTTTCTCTCTAGAGCCAGGATTTCTAGAATACTTTGGACTCTTGTATGACTGGCCAATTGAAGTCACCAAGCCAGATTGTCTTGTGATTGTACTTTCTCCTCATTAGGATGGAAAACCAGGCATACTGTAGTCTGCAAGAGGCCAGTTTTGATAAATCTTGGTCTAACTACACTGCCAGTTTTTAAGTCTATCCTCGTCAATAAAATGAAAAGTTACTGGGTCAATAATCTCTACCCAATGAAACAATATGGATACTTTAGTCCAAAGCTGTATTTAATGACTGTCTGCATTTGAGACTGGGTGGTCATTTTATTCAAACACAGGAGGATGGGAAGTGAACAGTATCCCACCACAGACTTCAGGATTTCCTCTTTTCTCCATTTCCACACTTCTGGGCTGACACTCATGTAGAGTGACAGATTTTTTTTTTTTTCCTTCAGTCCTAAAATTCCAGCTTGACCAGTCTGAGTCTGAAAGATTGAGGTAACTGTGGGGTAACATCACACAAACTGCACCAAACAGACTCAGAAACCATTAAAACCGAAACGATGGTGGCAGATAAAAATGGACTCCAATTCTATAATCTCTTCCTTTTCTATAGGATCTAAGAGGTAAATGTTTATGGAAGTTCTCATAAGTTTGAGCTGTGAGGCCAGAATAATTGGATCAAATCTTTAATCTCCAATACTGGAGTCATCAAAGTGGATAAAGAAATGAAAATTCCATTATATTTCCCTGTGATCTGGAAATATTCAGTTCCTCCTGAAAGAAGGCATCAGACAGAAAGCTCATTTTAGATAGCCCTGTCTAAACCACGTGACTCTACCCAGCAGGGCTAAATTGAGTCCTCCCTCCCCACCAGCGCTTTGGTCCCAGCTAGCTCTTGGAAACCAAGCGTGGGACATGTGTCGCAAGTCTGCCTTTTAAAGCAAAATCCTTCTCCCCCTGTTAGAAACTTGTATTGGCCAGCCCTACTAAGAACCTAAGCAGAAGATCGTTGACTACACCCGTAATTAACGGCTTCCCTGTCTGTGCTTACCCTACATCCTCATATATTTTCTCTTCGTTGCTAACAGGCTTCAATGGCTGAGAATAGTATACCTCTATACACTACCGCTTCCATGGGAAATCCCACTCTGGGCAACTTAGCCAGCGCAATACGGGAAGAGCTGAACGGGGCAATGGAACATACCAACAGCAACGAGAGTGACAGCAGTCCGGGCAGATCCCCTATGCAAGCCGTGTGAGTACTGTCCACCCAGAAGGTCTCTGCGTGCAGGTCCCAGTCTCCCGCTTCGGTGTGCACACAAGCCCTTCTCGAGCTGCTCTTCATACCTTTTCTGTCATTTCTGCTTTCCTAGAACCTTGGTAAAAGTTTGTGCTTCTGGAAATGTTTAGCTCAGTTAGCACGTAAAAGGACCATTTACTAACTTTCCCATAAAAGCAATCGGCTTCATGCAGCCCTACAAGTGCACACAGCAATAAAACGGGTGACTCATTTGCTTTTTTTCCCTCTGCTTGGCATCTCAGGCCATTATTTAAGCCACATTACCTTTTCCTCCTAAAATCGGCATGCGTCTCTGTCAGTTTGTTCAACTTGCGGGCACGCCGAACCTAGCAGGGGGAAAAAGAAGGCTTGTTTACTTGGCTGTGTGATGGTCTGAACCGCAAACACAATGCTGAAGCGTTATGACCAGGCATTAATGATGGCACAAATGAAAGGCGGCATGATTTATAGATTGCTCTTAAAATATCAAAAGGAAAATTAATAGGAGCATTATAGCAGCAGACGGCAGTATAATGAGCACCATATAACTGAATGAAGTGATGGGCAATGGTTGTCCCTGCTGAATGTGAATGGCACTAGGACTGGCCCAACGACAGGAGAGGTGTGATGCCTAGGCGGCGCACACCCTCCCTCCGCACTGTGTGTGTGTGTGTGGGGGGGCAGTGCGTGGCAGCAGAAGAGCCCCAACTGGGGCAACTCCCTCTCTGCCAGGGAAAGTTTAAAAGAGAAAAGAAGCCACATTTTTCCAGATGCTTGGATTTGTGGGGGTTGCTCTAGAGGGACAGTCTCTCCCTTGGAGCAAGTATCTGCTCCACCGTTGCCCAATTTAAGGAAGAAACCAACCCAATGTTTGCAGCACTGGCCGTTCCTAGAATAGGCCACTTGTCTACACACTCCTGAATTACTTGACTAGCACCTTAAGATAATTTGAGTGATGGGAATGGAAAATATGACCTGTAGCCACGAGGACCAGAAAGAATTGGCGTCAAAGGACAAGGAAAAGAAAAATGCTGTCGGTCAGGGTAATGAGTGGGTTGGGGGCAATCTGATATTTGATTATTTACCATTTGAGTTTCTTGCCCAGAGTGTTTTGAAAAGGATCTTAATAATGGAAATAATCATTTTTAATTTATGTGAACAGTCTCTTAGCATTTACTACACAACATTTTAAGAACGTGTTTGTCTTTGACACTGAATCTGCTATGTATCATCCTTTCTAAAGCAGGCTGGTGTTTCTGACTTGACTGTAGTCACATTCGTGTTCATTTTTAAATCATTGTCATGACAGGAGTGTTTAATCGTTATTAAGGAAGTTCAGAGCAAATATAAATTGGTATATAAGGTCCTTCAAGAAATGCTCATTAGAGCAAGTATTTCTGAAGTTATTGAATGGAAGAGAGACTATTTCTCATCATCTTTATGAACTCCAAGGGTTAGCTGATATCTATTCCTACTATTTAGAGCAAAGAATTACTAAAAAGAGAAAGATATTTGGATAAAAACCTCAGGCAACAGTTAAGAATGACGCTAATTTTGCTGTACAAGATAAAGCCACCACAAAGTTAATTTGTTTAACAACTTTGAATTAACCCCCAGTATTACCAGAAACCACATTTCGCAAGCAGTCAGCATAATTTTTAACAAAATGAAGGTTTCGGTTGTGTTTTGTTTGGGTTTGTTTTGGTTTTGTTAAGGAAACCCGACGTAAAGATGTCAAAATGCACACTGTTGTTCAGATCTCCCCGCTTTACACTGTTTGCTAAATATAATTATATGTCAACAGCGTAGTCCCTGTGCCCGCTCTCAGTGTCACAGACTGTTACTCTTTTTGACCCTGTATTTCCATTAAGTGAATTCTGTAATGACATAGTTTTCCTTCTTGGGCAATATGCATTACCCTGCTATGATGCAAATTGTTTCTTAACTGTTCTAGTCTATTGGAATAAATCAAGCCGTAAAGTTTATGGCATGGCTTCGAGAACCTTGTTAGTACGGCAGCCCAGCCACTATCTAGCATTGAAACAAGAGCTCCTCACCCTTTCTGTGCTGCCTCACTCCTACCACATTTTGTTTCTCTTTGGAAACACTAGAAAGTAGCCACGTAATTATGGCTTTGGGGCATTATACTTTTATCCTGATAGGAGCTAACGGAGCTACAAAGCAAAATACTCCATGCTGTGCACACACCCTCCAAACACAATGCCCCTAAACACCAGTCAGCTTTAGTTAAAAACTCTCGTGTTCCCAGAGTGGCTAAACAAAGGAATTACTCAGATGTAAGGAGGGAAATGTGTGCTTTTGCACAGTTATTCATTGGGAACCATTAGGGAAGTAGGAGTTGGGGGGAAAGGTGGGGCAGGGGACAAGGTGCAGGATGGCGCATCGTGCAGTTCCGATTTCTTGGAGACACACGAATGTGTGTGAAGCATCGTATCTTAAATAGTTTGCATCTTACCTGAAATGTATCTTGCTTGGAAATCCATTCTCTTTTATTCTCTGAAGCACCGCAGGCCTGTATGACTGCATTTGCCACACTCAGGGGGATCTGCTGGTATCAAGAAATGTTGTGAAGCTGGATTTCATTTCTCTGGAGTTTTAAGAAGCCTTAATGTCTAACTCAGTTGTGTTGTCAGGTTGTCACACAGATCTTGTCACTTAGTATTTGTTGGGGACCCACTCTGCATTAGGCATTGGGGTGAGCCAGCATGCGTGATAGGGTCCTAACCTGTGTCTTGGGGATGGTAAATAATCTTAAGTGTAGCTGCAACTTTCCAGGGAAAACAAAACCTTCTCTAACGTGAAGTGCCTAGCAAAACATTTGTCAAGAGTGGAAAATTATAAAGCAAGAACTTCATTAAGAATGTTCCATTTCTTCTCCATCCTCCGACCCCCTGTAGCCTTATATCATCTCATGTCATCAAATTCAGGTTTATACATGGAACACTACATCAAAAACTAATGATGTAATGTATGGTGATTAACAGAACAATAAAAAATTTAAAGAAAAAAATTCAGGTTTATAAACCTGAAAAGATTAATAATTCTGATTGTTTAAAGAAGTGAAAGTAGGAAAATGTTGATCAGGGAAACCACATTTGAACGTCAATACAGGGCTAAGTAACACATAGATACATTTCTAGCCAAATGTGATCAGCAGAGAAGGGGGGAGGTAATTTATGAAGTAGGACTGCTCAATAGTGAAAATATGAGATTCAAACAGGAAGAAACGTTCACCGCTGTCAG